GAGTTGTGTTTGCAGGTAATGAATTTCACAAATATTTTGTGTTTTGTAGGTGCAGCAAAATATATTTGTGAAACTTTATATCACAAATACAGTATAGGGGTTATACTTCACCGGAAATAAAATAATATTGCTAATTTTGCGTTTTTATCAAATTTGTGAAATGGAAAACCTGGACAAATTCACAAAATTTTACACCCATGAAATATAGTGCTATGGAATAATACATCTTTTCAGAGTATCATAAAGTTAGTTTTAACTTTGAGGTGGATCCTCAAAATTATTAACCCACAAAAGTTAAAAGTTCTATAAAATTTTCCGTACCCTGTTAGTTCCACAGCTAGCCCCATCAACCACTAAACCAGGACTGACTTCATCAGCATCAGCACGTGTAGTGACACTCCTACACTCTTGACCACTAGCAAATCTAGTATAAGCTGTCAAAGCACTCCTTGAATTAACATTATTGAATATTATTCTGCCACCATTGCACTGGAGTGAACCACAGAATGCATCACTATGAGTGGAAGAAAAGAATTATTTTGCAGTTTCACTGTTACATTGCGAAAAATTGAAAAAATTATATAGTGTTAAGACATGAAAACAATCGAATTAGAGACAAAGTTGTAGTGCATTATAGCTTACCCAGTAGGACAAGGAATGTAATTGGTACCATCAGCTCCACAATGGCCCCAGGCAATACCTTGAGTATTGAATTGTGTGTAGCATACATCATTAGAAGGAACTGATTCTATAGAAAGAAAGAGGGACAATGAAAGAGGAGGTTTAGAGAGTTTTACTGACCATTTCCAAAATAACGAATGCACTGATCCTGCGCAGAGCCACACGTACCATCGTAACAATAACCCTGGAGGTATAATGAGAGAATATGAACATTGCTTTTAATAAACCACTAACATACAGTATTATTAGCACAGGATAGTCCATTCTGTCGTGTTACATCTGTCGGGCACTAAAATAAAAAAAAATATTTAAAAATTCAGTTTATCACTTATTAGTATTATTATTATTATTATTATCATTATTAATTATCCTTACGTCAGCATCTTGACCAGTGCAATATTCTAATATGTCACACATACCAGATGAATTACGACATGTAGTACCATACGACTTGAACTGTTAATTATAAAAAAACAATAATAATATTCTAATAACAATGTAATGTAATTACTTGGCAGTTTTCACAGCAAACTCCAGATCCGCATTGGGCAGTACTGGCTAGTTCACATGTAGTGGCATTACAGCATGGATCATTGCACTCCTGAAATTGATAACATACTTAAAATTTAGCACACGCAGACACACACTCACACACACAGACACTCACACACACACACACTCACACTCACACACTCACAGACTTACAGCTAAACTTCCGCAGTCACAAGTCTCTCCTGGTTCTCTTATTCCATTGCCACACCTAGCAGTACCAACAATCTACATAAAGAGAGAGAGAGAGAAATTAAAGGACAATAGACTGTACAACTAACAGTTGTTGGACTGTTTCCTAAGCAACGGTTAAGATCAGAATTGCCAGATCGAGAGAAACCAGCATTTAATTCATTAATACTGCACTGTGACCATCTGGTGGCTGGAGGGAAGCTGAGAGAAGAAAATGAATCATTAATTCTAAAATTTAATCAGTACCTTGAAACAGCATTCATAATGCAACCACTATTGGAATCAGGACAATTACAACCTAGTTATAATAATTTAAATAATAATGATGATTAATAATTAGTATGTTCTTACTTGAATCGTCATCATGATTCATACCAAAAGTGTGTCCCATTTCATGAGCAGCAATGGTAGCAACTGATGCAACACTACCTCTTGTATCCTATAAATTAATAAATTATTCCTTTACAGACAAATAAATTAATAGACTGTGGGTTTTCTGATTATGGATCACGGGGAAAAGAGAGGGGGAACAATAATAACAATTATAAGTAATAAAATTAGTTATATACACAGTTTTAGTCAGCACAGTAACACATGATTAAAGTGTC